GCTCGTCCGCTGCGGTCATCGCTGTCGGGTCGTTTTCCTTTGGGTCTTCAGAGTAGGGCATGTAGGCGGTCGTCACCGGCGGGAGTTCCATAATCGGGTCGTAGGGCTCGTGGGAGGGGTGCGGGTCCTGGTCACTGATCAGGTCGTGGAGCTCGGCGTCGTCGCTTGCCTCCCCATGGATATCTCGACCGCCTTTGTGCATCAGTGCTTTCCAAGCTTCGTATCTGCCTGTTGGGGTTGGTCCACAAGGCATGTTGGTGATCAGGTCCATCTCCACTGGACCTGTGGTCGCTCCACTGGCAGCACAACTGCGATGTCGTAGGGCAGGGTCATCTCGAGGGGGTTGTTCGGAATCGTGTCGAGGGGGTCGCTGTGGGGCTCCTGCTTGGTCGTCACTTCCCGTATCGGGGCATGCCGGTGTCCGTGGGACGGGCTCGCGGCTGCGTCGGTACTCGTAGTGCACGACTGCCACATCTGCCATCCCGGCATCGAATTGAGTGCCTCCCTGGCCACTTGGATTGCCGTCGCCGATAGTGAGGAGGACAACCACCATGATCATCTCGAAGCATGGCTTTCTCATGGCGTAACACCTTAGGCTGACCAGTCGAAGAAGATGCAGTCAGCTTCGGTAGCGGCTGCAGCATTGAAGTCATGCAAGTCACTGAGTCGTATCGGCTTGTGCTACGGACATGTCGAAAGTGCTGAAACAAGGGCCTGTCTAGTTCGGGTAAAACAAATGTCTTCACGTATTCAGGTTGTCGGTGAACATGTCGAAGTGAGGGAGGGTGCACTGGGTCGCTGGGTGTGTTAGGGATGTTGGTGGTAGCCTGGGCAACTGTGCACGGTATGATCGTGTGAAAGAACATCTCATCCTGGTCAGGAGTCATTCACCCCCCACGGCTCCCTGGGGGTTTGCGTGTTCCTGTGGAAGTGCTCGGTCTGGTAGTGCTGCTTGTCGGCCACTGGCCCATGGGATATCTTCCCTCCGCAGCCATTCGGACTCCAGGCTACGCCACTTGGCGGGGTCCAATGCCACCTCCCTCCATTCTTTGGAGCCGGAAGCTCGGTTGAGCTTGAGTTCTTCATTGCTAAGGTGTGGGTAAAATGATGTGGGGTGGGCTACCCCAGTTTTGAGCCGGGTTTGGGCCTGCGACCATTGGTATGTTCGATACCGGTCCAGTACCGCACTTGCCGGTGGGGAGGTTCGGTTCCAGGCTCTCGCTACGTGGCCTTTATATCCCCAGTACCGTTTGAGCCAGGACGTACTCCACCTGGGCTGCTGGTGGTTGGCCAGTATCTGTCTTGCCGCGCGAAAGCTGCGAATGCGGTGGTCCAGCCAGCTCTCTCCAGTCTTCCGTCTGAAACCTGCCATTCTGGCCACAAACTCGAGCTGCATGGCATTTGCAGCACCCAGGGCTTGCGGGCTAGGCGCCACCGCTGAGGCGTACCACAGAGCTGCGCCGCCGACTGTTGATTGCAGCGTCTTCAGTCTGTCTTTAAGGGGGCCTCTGCATTCCAGAATGTGTCTAGATGCGAAGTACTTCTTTCTCGCTTTTGCGAGCCCTGCATCTAACAGGTTAGCGGGCTTGACTGGTACCTGTAGCGAGATGCCCATTACTTCAAGGCTCGTGCAGGGTTCGATCGGAACTCCTTCAAGCTTGATCGGCCCACGCTCCGTGGCGTGAGGGCTTGCATAGTAGCATGTCTTCTTCGGGTTGACCTGTAGTCCCCAGGAGGCTAAGGCACTGCGCAGGAGAACATACTTAGTGCAGAGGTCCGCCTGGCTACGGCTCCATGCGAGGCTGTCATCCATGAAGAGCATCTCCTGTAGGCTTAGGTCTGGAGCTGCGCCAATCTTTTGGGGCCAGTGCGGGTGTGACTGAGCCTCTCCCAAGGCGCACTCCATCGCTACTCCGAAGAGCCAGGGGCTCTCAACTGCGCCTTGGCGGATGCCTCTGGTCTGGACCACTTGCTCCTCGCCCCAGGGAGTCCTGATAGTGGCCTGACCTGGTGCCAGTAACCTACGCCAACAGTCATATTCCAAATGCATCGAGTCAGGCAGGACGTTTTTGAGGTGTGCAAGGGCTCGCGATCGGCTGAGGCTGTCGAAAGCTTTTTGGATATCGAGTTTCATGTAGTGCAGGCCCCATTTCCACTCGGTCTCGAGTTGAAAGATTCTGACAGCCCCAAACACGTAGTCTGCTGTTTGCCTTGCCCGAGTGGGCACACTGGGCCGGACCCACTGGATGAACCGCTTCCCTGGTACGCGCTAGGAGGAGCTGGCCAAACACCTTGCCCATTGTAGAGCCTAAACTAATCGGCCGGAGATCTGTCGGGCCTGTCGGCGAGGGCGTCTTCGGCAAAAGGGTGACAACCGTTTGTAGCCAGGCCTGTGGTATGGGGGCCGGCCTTGCCGTATATCCTCCAGCCAGTCCAGCATCGCTTGGAGCGTGGGTTCGTCCGTCACCAGCTTGCTCAAGAGCTCGTAAGAAGTGAGGTCCAGTCCCACTGACTTCCCGGGTTTGCCTTTGGAGACTGCCTGTAGGAGCTCCTGACGGGTGAAGGGAGGGGAGGAAGTTGTCCTTGGTCTCTCCCACATGGGTAGGGACGGCTCCTTCTTCGGTGCTGTGAAGATGGCACGGAAGTGTTCGACGGTCCACTTCAGAGGGTCTTTACCTTCATACGCCTGCTCCGACAGGTGAACTGCCCATAGATGGCCTTGACCCTGGTCCTGCTTCAGGTCCTTATAGTCTTTCCAACTACCCTGACCTGCTCTTGCAACCTTGGCTTGGCACCACTGGTCCCTGGCCGTCCTGCGAGCTTTGTGAGCTGCCTTCCAGTCTTGTTCGCTACCTGTCACCTTAGCCATGCGGTAAAGCTTCTTGACCGTTGGTGGGTCATGGTACCTCTTCCCAGGGATCGGTTTTGTGTGCCTAGCAGCCAACTCTTCTACGCGCTCCTGGTCGAGATGTCGGTGTGAGCCTGGGTCGCTCGTGACATACCTCGCTCTTGTGGGCTGCATGTGCTCAAGCTTCACGCTGGGGAGGCTAAGGCTGATGCGTAAGCGATCGTGGTCCCCGGAGATCTGTGCGTGGCTTTTCTCTTCGATGTAGACCTCCGGCGCGGGTAGGCCAAGGACTGCTGCACCGTCGATCTGCCTTCCTCTGGCTGTTCTTCTTCGGGGGCGGCTGGTAGGGGTATCCCACTGGTCTCTCCCCGGCGCGCATAGCTGGAAGCCTCTGTTGGTAAGTTCGGAGGCGACATAGTCAGCCCTGCCTGTCGTAGGTTGGAAGGCATCTCTCAATTCTGACGATGGCGTCCACTTCAAAAGTGTATTGAAGTCAGCCACGAGGACAGCCTTGTTGGGGAGGTTCGGCCTCAGCTTGAGGATGTCCTGCATCTCTTCTGCGGTGATGTCGTCGGTGACCCCGGTGCTCAATCGGATCGAGGAGGCCCAGAGTTCAGCTCCAGAGGGTTTGTGTCGAAATCGGACCCATATCCCGAGCTTGCTGGCCTTCCTTCGCAGACAGATGTAGTCTACCGGATTGTACAGGATTCCGTTGCCTCTCCATTGGAGGTCGTCATCCCTATACTGTACGAGCACTCTCCCTCCCTGTACGACCGTGGACTTCCATCCAGGTTCGGTGCGGGGAAGCTCTTGACATGCATAAATAGAGTTTTCCAGGTGCTTTGGATCATTGGAGCGATGGCCTTTACGGCGTCAGAGACGGCTTTGCCGCCTATGTTCCAGGAGAAAAAGTTCAAGTTCACAGGCTGGTTCCGTGCAGCAGATGCCCCGTCCCCTTCGGGCGAGCAGGCTGCAATGCTCCGGGGGCTCGGGTGGCCTTTTGGAGCGCTGTGCAATTGAGCAGTGTCCCGCTTCTCGCGGGCAATCCCATCACTAGACTGGGGCATGCTAGGACAGCTGGGAGATTCACCAGCTAATTCGGGCTCAGCTGTGTCAGTTTCATCTCAGCTCTCGATGAGGGTAGCCCATCGTTCCTGAAGGTCGGCTTCAGAGCACCCGAGGATCCGTGCTGCCGATGCAAGGTCAATCCACATTCCTGGCTGTTTGCCTTCATGGGTGGACACTCCGATGGGCTTTGGCCGCGTGGCGCTACCGATCAGGGTGGACCGGAGCCACACTGAGCCTGCATTCCAGTCCACGTCGATGTTGGCCTTTTCCCTCTCGCTGGTCTCGAGTAGTAATCGTTTCATCTTTCCTGCGTGGGAGGAACGGAGCCTCTAGGTTTTTGCCGCTCTCCATGGATTTTCCTGACATCTGGGCATCTCTGATCGTCTGTACCATAGTAATCATTCTTCGCTTCAGCCGAGTGCGTTGCCCTTCCTTGGCCCCGTGGTGAAGAGGTCGTCGAAGCACTCGTCCAGGTGGACTTTCCCCAAGAGCTCCTTTAGCTCCGGTAGCAGCACTTCCCTGTGGGTGTCAGGGCCCCGGCCGCCGAAGACGAGGAGGTTCCTGTTGTTGGGCTTGTCTTTGTCTGCGTCCCGGAGTTCGCCGAGAGGGCCCACTCCGCCTGTCTCAAGAGCAGCGAGACGGGTCTCCATGCGATCCTGCTGGGGATCGGACTCTTCGTCACTCGTCTCGGGGACGTTCGGCAACGACGTCCCGGTATGGTCCTTGTCGGCCCCCCGTTTGGCCCTGCGAGCCCCGCCGCCGTGCATGTTCTCGGAGTCCGCCCCGGTCGATCAATTCGAGAGCGGAGCGGAATTCAGGCGGGGCGAGGACCCGAGCTATCAGCGGGGGTGCGGGCTTGAGCCTATTCTTGAGCAGGCATGGCTTCAGAGTTCAAGATTTTAACACTACCTGTTTTGGGAATGGCAGCACATCCTGCATCCTGCAGGTCCCACAACACAGCTTTTTGCAGGGGGTTTAAGGGTTTACAGGATAGTGACTGGCAAAGGTGCTTTAGAAGTTAAAATTATCCAAACCCGGCAGGAGACAGGGGGCGAAGCTATGTACATTGAGCAGTCGCGGGCCTTCACGTAGGTCGCCTTGTGGGAACTGCATGACGTGCCTGAATCAGCTTGGCGGGAAAGAACTTCCGGGTTTCGGCATCTGGATTTGTGTTGGTGTTGTGCGGTGGCGTCTTGCTTTTAAGGTTTGGATTTTCAGATGTGTGGCGTAGGATTCAGGTCATGTTAACCATCCCCATAAGTGCATGCAGTGAGGCAGTGAGGTGAACAGTTGCATAAGTCATATCTCCGAAAAACGAGGCATGCCACGCGGTGTACCCGAATAGCATACTTCAGTTTCGGACACCAGGGCCCAGGCTTTGCGGCTGAAGGCCTACAAAATGCTCAGATCTTGGGTGCAGCTTTCAACCCTTAAGCTCCCTCAACCTCGGTGAAGGTTGCACGAATCCCATGCAAGGTCAGGAGGCAACTGCAAGACCGAACAAATGGAAAAGCGGTGCCGTCGTGGGAATCGGGCAATGCAAACAACTGGATGGCAGGGAGAGAGACAAAACCTGCGGCTAGGTTCGGAACAAACGACTGCCAGCCCTCGGGGAAAGAACATGCAAGAACAAGGGCTGCACGCTGCTCGAAGATGTACCACCGCACAAGCAGTAGCCACAAAGAAACAGAGGCTCCGAAGCCAGACTCATTATATATATATATATATATATATAATATGAGCCACTGCGTTTATTTATTGCTTGGGCTAGTTACGCTATCTCGAAGCGGTGCCCCTATCTCGTTTCGTCATGTTAAGTACTGGCAGAAAAAGTCGATCTCGTTCAAGTATCGTTAGTACTAGATATACTTGATCTCGTTTGAAGCGGTGCCCCTATCTCGTTCCCCTAGTAGGGCTAGTTCCGACAACAAAAATAAAGCACGGAGGTATCTCGTTTCAAATTACTGTAGGATAAACGCAAATAAAAGCCGTCGCTCATATATATATATATATATATATATATATATATAGTACCCCTTCCGGAATTCTCACAGTATACGAGTCGAAAATTAGGAAAACGAAACCCCCTTATGGAACCCTCATAGTACACGATTCGAAAAAAGCAAAAAACGAAACCTGAAGACCAGGGGATGCCTGCTTAGAGGCCCAAGCAATTATGGTAGCTCCATTTACGGTTCTTATAACTCTATTTATAACCTATCCACCTTGGGCCTCAAAGTACTACTGTATTTCAGGGGACCCTTATGATAGAACCCTATAGTACCCTTTGAAGGGACCCATTAGCCTTACTACATCCCCCATTCGCCTTCGCTGCCTCCGCATGCGCTACTGCGGAGTCGAGCTGGGCAAGCTGCGTCTGCAGGACCTGGGAGTGGTGCGTCTTCGAAGTTTAGGGCTTCCGGGATTCGGGGGGGGAGGATTTAAGGTTTAACGAGAGTAACGAGAGTTTAGGCCTGCATGTCGAGTTTCGGATTCAAGATTCAGTAGGTGCTGTTCTGGGTTGGGCAGCTTGTGCCATCGGATTTCGATTCAAGACCCGTTTAAAGTGTCAGCAAGCACCAACCGCCGAAGAGACCTCCGTCAAGGGTCCTAATGCACTGTAGATAATCAAAGGTATGTAGCAATACATGCAAGTGTACGTGCCGAATTTTTCGATAGCAGAGTAGAAGAAGATGCGTGATAAACATCCCACAGACTTTACACTCCAACTGAGCTTTCGGACCTCCAGGCGGCCGCAGGCCGCCTCAAGGGCGTTGACGTCAAAGTGCGTGACACCTTCTTGAACTTGTGAGAGGGGCTTTTTGCGGGTGCAGCTATTAAGGGGCTTGCACCGGTCTTGGGGGATTCGAGGATTCTTAAGATTTCTTAAGCTTTAAGCTTTTCGTGGCTTTGGCACATCCGCCTACGCATCTGACACCCCAATTCAAGCCCGAAGCCGCTGAACCCTGACGGCATCTCTGCACCTGGTTTTGCACCCGCGCCTTTGACCTCGGAACAGGCTCCGAGGTAGGGTTCGAGGCGGGACAGGCGAACCAGCACGACGCACTCCGGAATTGGACGACAACGACGCGGCAGGAACAACGCAAACATCGCCACATTCTCGAAGCTCGTGTTGCAACATGCGCGAAATGCAACTATGCAGCTTCAATACCAAGCTGACACCGCTCTGGGCCTCTGGCAGCAAGGTTCCCGTCCCGAGAGATCACTTCCCCGCTGAGCGTCACCACCCTGGAATCAAGGTAGTGGAGACTCCGTGCTAATGCTTGCGACAGGCGTAGTAGTGTAGGGCATTCATCGAGGGATTGGCGTCTTGATCTGGAATCACGGTCGTGCTGCTGGGAGCGGCGGTGGGGTCCTGCACTTCAGGCCCAGCTCCTTCACAACGCCGAAGACCTGGAGAGCGACAGTGAGCAGCGGCTCTCACTTGCAAAACGCCAGGGAAGTCGTTCTGAAACATGCCGGCTGCGCAAACTCACGGCCGTCATGCAAGGAATCGGCAACCACTACATCCTGTCAGCGGCAAGTTCAGGGGGTGGGCGGGCCGGCCTTCCTTTCGCTCGTCCGATCCAAGGTGCTCCAGCCCCTAAGAAGTCTTAGAACTTAGAAGCCCAAGTCCAAATATCCTAAGCCCTAAGCTGCTTCTCCTGCTCGATACTGACGCCTCTGCTGCAACTTGCGACCGTTTGCGGGGAAAGACTGGGGTGGCGCGATTCTCCAAGCCATTGATCTGCATGCAGGGCTCAAGGCAGAGACTACTGGGTTAGGGATTTCAGTGCTTCGAAAAGTGCAGCCCTAGATAGAACTCGAAAAGGGAGCAACAGAAAATGAACTGCCACACAGCCTTCTCCCCCCCTCCCCCTTTATCCCGCGCGCCGACAGGAGGAAGTCGAAAGCACGACTCAACGAGGACTCGAAGGAGATGCAACTGAGAGCCTGAGTCAAAGGGTAATGACTAATGACAATGAGGTTGCAAGGTTTTCTTTTGCTGCTTGTTTAAGCACACTCTCAATCCCTTTACGAAGCGAAACACTCAGACCTTGGCCGGACGCAGCTTCGTACGGCCTTGCAGGGCCTGCGTCTTGAATCACTGGACAGCTTTCGGGAAGTCAAGGACCCACCCATGAGCCCCTGTGGACGCTTGAACGCTGAAGCATGGTAGCAGCACGCTATGCATGCTGGCAGACGCTGAAGCCAGATTTCGCTGTGTCTTCCGTTAGTTGAGAACGCCCAAACTTGCATCTGCGGCTGCCTCGTGGAGCCGTGGGTCCGTGACCATGCTCTTCAGCAGCCCGTTGTCCAGGGGCAGGAAAGTCAGTGGCGCCAGCATTCGATCCTAGCCGCAGTGCTTTCCCTTGAGGTTGAACAGGCCACCACCCACCGGCGGCTCTACAGCAGTGGCAAACCTCTAAGGGACACGGAAAGCCCGATCCCTCGGCCTTGAGGTAGGAACGAGCCATGTGGGCTCCGTGAACCGTCTGCGTGACGACTGCATCCAGGTGCCCGCTCAGCCTCAGCAGCGATTTATGATTTGCATTCTTGCATCGTCTACAGCTGCAACTCGCCTCTTTCCGGCACTTGGTGTGCTACGTCGGGGGCAACCCGGATCCTGCACATAGGGCGCTACGACCTTCCCCCCCGGATTCTCGTGGGAGTCTGGGCTGAAAGTGCGGGGCTGACAAATCCCAGGCACAAAATCGTCTGATGAGCATCTCCCTGCTCCAAAGCGCGTCTGGGCCCCAGGCGCTACATTGAGCGCCACACGGAACCGTTTGTGAATCGGGTTGCAGAGCTTCGCGACCTCAGCAGTGCATGTCAACGGGACAACTCCAACTTAAAGTATAACCGAAAGTTGACGTTGCTCTCGACATCCTGAGCTCTACACAGCACAGAGCATAGTTAGGCGGACCCATACCAACCCCAACTTCCTCTTGGCCCATGGCCCGGCCGAAAACACCAGGCACGGCGTGCCACAGTTCCGTGCACGTAGAGGTCAATCTGGGCTGAGGGCTACGTAGAGGAGATCGAGGGTTAGCTCAGAACGTCGGTCGAAGCGCACCTCCTGTCCATTTCGATCCGATGCGTCGTCACGGTAATATCCTGAATCTCCTCGCCACATGAGAATGAGAGTGCGCCAAGCAGGTGGGGGTTTTGAGCCCGGCGAGTGCAATCTGTGGTTGCTTAAAGGATCAACGCCCTGAAACTTCTCAGCAAGGCTCCTCCAAGATCTGGCGGTGCTCTGATTCAAGTCGCCGCCTGCTCTTTCCTTCAGGAGTCCATGCATAAGTATTACCCTGCGCAAATTCTCAAGACCTCCTTTCGAGGCAGCACTTGCCCCCCCAACCTCCCCCCGCCACTCACTTAATGTCACAAGCTCTCTCTTTCAGCAGTCTTCAATATTCGGGTGTGGAGGATGCCGGGATGTGCCGATGTTGTTGGCAGAGAGCAACTGGGCTGCCACATACACAGTTCACTAGATCACTAGATCAGCCCACGAAGCCATTGGCGATTTCCTGCGTGCTATGCCTGGCTTCTTGTACCTGGGCTCGACGAGCTCACACCGCACGATTTCTAGCAACCAACGGGCCACCTACATCTACCAACAAGCTTCGGACGAACTACCTCAGCTTGGTCGCTTGCGTAAAACATATTCAGCTCTCGCCGTCTCTCTCTCACTCTTCATCTCTCCATCCATCGATACGATCTGATAACCCCAACGCCTGAATCCTGATGACTGTGAAAAACACTGAGGCTGCGGCGGAGAGCTTGGCATTGTCCGGCGAGCTCCTCGGGGCAACTGCCGGTCCCAAAGCTCGCAACCCTCGCCCTGAAAACCCTGGACCCTGAAAGCCCCAAAATCTAGCACCCCAGACCCTCATACGGTAAACCCCGCACCTTTCAACCCTAAACGCCCAAAAACAGATGAACACTGAATTCCAAGCCCTCTTCCCTTTCTATTGCTGGGTCATACTGCGGAGCATCATGCAATGGATGTGTACTTGCGGGTGCATGAGCGATATCTTGTACCCATACACAAAGACCAAAGTGCACATGCGCACAATCTGTCCTGTATACATACACAGACACTTGTTCTGCACTTTTCTTTATGGGTCTGGGTCTATGAAATTTGGATCTCGGGTGTCAGGCGAGCACAGCATTTGCCATTGAGAGGGTCCTGCTTGAAACCGCAACTCTTAGATACTTCAATTGGATAGGTGCCCGATGTGCCCGAGCCAGCAAACACTAACAGTCTCACGGCATCATGCAAGGACGAGGTGCAACAAAATCGATGAGGAGAGGACGACGGAGCAACTTCACGCAGGTGGGTTCGGATTTTGCCGGGCCGTGGCTCTAAGCCCTAAACCCTCGCTGTTCCGAGGACTTCCTTCGGGGTGACTTGTTACAAGAAGAGCAACAGCGAGAAGACGTAGACTGAACACAACAACGGTAGAAGTGGCGCTGGCAGAAAAACTGTAGCGATAAGCAGGAAAAGGAGATTTGCCAGCTTGGGGTTTACTGTTCGGGCCCGCGCTACAGAGTCGGTGGCTGTGTCACTCCGGCTTTCCAGGCCTCTTGCTGGCGGCAGGAGATGGTGCCCGGCTTGGGTCCATCCTCTTGGCCGAAGGAGCCATCACCCGCAGTCAGGACGATGGAGTGGTTCGGCAGACGCAGGCCTCAATGCTTCTGCGTAACGTTTACCCGAAGCAAAACAGCACCCCTTTAGAGAAGTCGTGGTGGGCAGCTTTTAGTGTGAGGGAAGTGGACGGAGTTTGGAAAATTGAAGATCACTTGTAGTCACATCGTCCTGGGGTTCTGTTTGGCTTCCCCTCTACTAAACAGGCTCGCCATACACCAGAGAGTGTCTGCAGGAACTCCCGCGCTGCAAAGACTGCGGCCTTCCCCTGTCACCACATTTCTCTGAGGTATCTCCTCTCTGAACTGGCTATGCCAGGCGGCAGCTGATTCGACACACAAGTCCACGCATCTTGGCCGGCGCTGCATGTCAAAACCCCCCAGAAACATGACTCAGATTGCTGTTGAGACCCCGAACCGAGCCCCCGCCCCGCTTCCCCCTTCAGCTCCCAGCGCGGCAGCACGGCGGTTGTGCCCCGCCCAACAGTCTGGAGAGCAATGCTTGTAGGGCGGAGTTTGGGATCAAGTGTTGGGTTCGAGAATTAGGTTAGTGTCTGCGGCATGTTATGCTCGTAGACTATGTGGGGTGGGGGGCTTAGTGATGCAGGTTGTGGGAACATGGGAAGTCTCGAGAAAAGACATATTCGGGATGTAGAACATGGGGTCTATGACGGGGAAGCAATGGCATAGATTGAGAGCTCCTAACTGTAGGGCAACTACAAGAGTTGGGCCATGGCTTTGTGTCCCCGGCTCCGGGCCCTGTCTCGAAAGGTGTGGGGCCGAACGCCATCTGAATGCACAAAACCCCAAAAACTCATTCGAGCACCTGCCTTTTGCCGCTTCTTCCTTTTGCGCTCCTGTCGCCACGTGGGAGCTTTTCAAAACTGCTTTCCAATTTGGGTGCCTGAGGCATTTGTGGCTTCAGGACTTCATGCACGCCAAAGATGTTCAAGGAAACAAGCAGCTCGGTAATTAAGACGGCGTTATGTGCAGAATATAACTGGGCATCATCTGTTGGCGAAGTCTTGAGACCATAGAGCTTCAAACTTGGAACCCGAGCCAGGTTGTCAACACAGGTAGGTCTGGGCATCCCTAAGCCCTAAACCCTAGACCTGCATGTTGGACGCGCGTCTAAGACATAAGCATGTTTGAGATCAGGCCCATCCGCGGATCCGCGGGGTAAGGCCTCTTGGCTGAACATAGAGCCACGGTTTAGGGTTTAGATGGGTGGGTTTAGGGGTTTTTTCCCTCCTACTTGGCAAGGACGAAGCCCGCATTGCAGGGTACTTGGTTGGACAGTTGCAGGCTCAAGCTTTCAAGCCCGCAGGTTGATATGCCTACATCGGCCCCAAGGTAACTTGATGACGCCCAACACACGGCAACTGAAGGACATAAGCAACTTTCCATGGTTCATGTAATTTTACATCCACAGGTTTTTTGGTACACTTCTCGATTTGTGCAACCTGTGGATTAGGGGTTTCGGCGCTCACACTCGGACATTCCAGGCGAGGCATGTGGTTCGGAGTCTGATGCGTCAGACTTCACTAGGAGGAGCAGTCAGAATACAGTCAGGGTTTGGGGTTTAGGGATGAAACCTGGTACTCTGATCCTGACACCTCAACGGTTGGGCTGGAGCCTAAAGGCCTAAAGATGCTCAGACTGCGTGCATTACTACTCGACCATTCCAACATGCAACCGGCACAATCAATAGATGTCTCCCGGATCCTTTGACGACTCGAGAACAACTAACCTTGATCCCTGTAAGTATAGAACACGACCCCCAGCTTCCCTAAGGATCTATCTTTGGCCCCTTTCTGTTTGGGTCATGCGCCAAGCATGCTGTGAATTGTGGTGCATGTGGGATTCTCACATCGTGGTAGTGCACGAAAACACGAGACCTCAAACTAGACTTAGTCCATAATCCGTACTGTACAAATAATCACAGTCCGCATAAACATTGTCAAAACCACCCGACCAAACCGGCTCTGCAACAGTGCTCCTTCATAAGAGCTCTTGGAACTGGACAAGACATCCAGAAAAGGACGGGATAAGTTGTGACACATCGAATCAGATTGAGGGTCGTGCAAGACTTTTGCTCAAGGTTGCGGAAGGGCCATGACCACTTCGGGTTTTGCTTAACGTTTGTAGTGAGGTGACTTTGTTAGCGATCCTTGATTTGAAAAAGAACTCCATGGTCCTGGCTCAAAGCAATTTTTCACTAAGCAAGTTGCTTTCGAGTGCTCATTGGCAATCGCGGTATGTCTTGTTTGACATCCTTGTCAGACGTCCCTCTTCGATGTCTTAACAGGACTTGTCAATATCGGTGCAAATTCCTGATCTTCTCGCAGATCGAACAGAAGGGAACAAGGATGTTCTGGCCAAGAACTCGCAACACGAATTTCCTCAAAATCCTACGCTAGACTGCAATGCGGTGCCCTCCCTGCAACTCCCTGAACATAACCTTGCAGCTGCAGAATACGATGTTGTGCCCACCCGCTACTCAGCTACAGCACCAGCCCTCCCAAGCCAAACCCCAAACGCCGGCAAGGCTTTGGAGTCCTCCACCTCCTCGCATGCTGCTGCTTCTTGCTGGATCTGCCGCAGAAGCGTCCCATGGTCTTTAAGGTTTCCATTCAGGTAGATTGTGTTAATATCTTCAGGACACGCCTGCTTGGAATCATGTCTGCTTGGGACTTGGAGCCGGGTAGGTGACTCAGGTGGCTCACGCAGACCATCAGGTTGGAAATCAAACGCGTCCAGAGTCAGGGTGAGAGTGGGCGAAGGCAACACACTCTGAACGTGTCGAATATCCAAGTGTTCATGAACAGAAGTCTTGCGGAACGCATGCAACGACCCATGCGATAGTTGACATCATTTCACGGGTCGGAAGAACTCATAGGGGACCGTTCGCGGTCTTCCGCATTACTGAAGTAAATTGTGCTTGGGGGCTTTGGGCTGCAAGCCTGTCGATGCTGCACATGACTGCATGATTTGAAGCCAACATGTAACACGCAAGTCCGTGATTTCGGATCAATAGTGCCTTGAACCTGCGCTTGTTTAGCAGAATGATCATATTAAATATTAAACTACAACAGCAACAACACCATCACCACCACCAAGAAGAAGAAGCAGAACTAGAACAGTACCGCTACTACTACTACTACTACTACTACGACGACGACGACTACTACTAGTAACTCCTACTACTACTACTACTACTCCTCCTCCTGCTGCTTCCCGGTCTTGATTATGTTGCTAGTGTGCATGGCATGTCGTTTTCAGCATGGCTAGTGCTATCATTTGTTAACACTGCTTTTCCAGCTTTGGCTACAGTACTGCTCCTGTGAGTCTGACACAAATTTCACGACTATTACCAATACCACTAGTGCTATTACTATCATTGTATAGTATAGGACACTTAATACAACAGCCAGAAGTTTGATGAAAGCTGGCTATTATGACTTGCTCTTGCTTGCTTTTCCTACCGCCACCACTTCTGCATGATTTCTTAGTTGTCTCTTTTGCCGTGTGTACTGCTGCTTACACTCCTGCCGTCGCAACCCGCTAATGAATACAGTCACTTTTACAACTGGTTTTGGAACTTTCACGTTTATGAAAACTGGGCAGTGCTGAATGCATGCGCTTCCAAGACGTCGCTTTTCCGCATGGCTTGAGCCACGAAAGGTCGTCAGTGCCGAAAGCTCGCACGATCAAAGCCTATCCGGGCCAGAGTCTACATCGCAACAGCTTGCTTTCACACCCCTATTAGTTTTCTGGTCCGGATTTGGCATGAGATTGATCGGCAAGCCTCTCATCATATGTAGCAGGGACTCATCTGTTCCCAAACGCTTGGTGAGGCCGTCGGCCAGCATCCGGTCGGTGCTGGTCCAAAGAACTACGGTGTTCGCCCACTCAGGTGGGCGATCCTGCCCAAGTGGATCGCCGATCTCCTGGCCCTCTTCTCGCCAAAGCTCCTGTCGGAGAGCACACAAATCAATCGCGAGGCGTTTGTCTGCGACGGTCCCCGTCGCCGGATTCAGCAAGTGCGTGTAGAGGCTGTAGCAGTCAGTGAACCAGGCCACACAGGTTCTGTCCATGGCCCTCACCATCCACTCGGAAGAATCCATGCGCGAAGTGGCCTCATAGAGGCCATGGATGACCGCTCACGTGGTCCGCCTCCATAGCTCCCAGCTGGAGAGACAAAGTCTCTGCCTGAAGCGTCGATTTGCAAACTCGTCGCAGCACGGTGCTGTGCCAGCACAGGGGATAGGCTTGACCCTTGAGGTTGTCCAGGAAGGCGTAGGGAGCCAGCATCAGCAGCCGGCCGCTCTGGCTGCGATAGCCCATCTTCTCGCCATTCTTGCTGACATCAAAATCCGCGGCGTACGACGCGTCTTGGATCGCCAGGAGCATGGTCCGGTCAAACTCCAGGATCCCAGCCGGATAATACAACCCGTGCTCCCGAGTTTTGGCCACGTACTTGACCAGGTTGTTGGCGTCCATGAGGTCCTGTACTTTGGGCCGCGCCACGGCAGTCTGGAGCCGAGCCACGCTGTAGGAAATATCAGGCCTACAAACGCGGACCAACCAATTCAAGGACCCAACCACGGAGCGTAGCTGTGCCTGCTCCGCGGGAGAGGCATCTTGGTCCCGTTGCCCACGGTGACAAGGCTCAAGTTGCACCGGCTTGACTCTCGGAATGAGGTCCGGGCACGTGACGCTGATTCCATCGTCATCTTGGTGCAGCCAGCGCCCGCAGTATTTGAACGAGCGGGCGTCGAGAGAGCCGAACTTGTAGATCTGCTGCACCTCCTCCATGATGGCCTGCATCTCCTCGTCGCCGGACCACAGCAGATCGTCGACGTGGATCAGGAGAAGGCCCTTCACATAGACCTTGCCGTCCGCCCGTGTCCCATTTAGGACGTAAAACCCCGGCTCGTGGGGCACTCGTCGGAGCCTCTTGGCCTTCAGGGTGCCGTCCAGGTTCTTGAACCAGCCCCTCCGTGCGTCCTTGGTGCCATAGACCGTGGTCGAGACTTCTATGAGGTCCTCGGGCTCCATGTCGTAGGGCGCCTGGTCATAGCAAAAGTCCCATGGCAATCTGGGAGGCCGTTGGGCTGTCCGGCGTTCTCCAGGTCCCCTCGCACCACAAAGCGGCTCTTGAGCTTCTGCTCGGTGGCTCCCACCTCGGCCTTGTCGATGTCGACCCAGCGAGTAGGGATGACCCGCAAGGAGGGGTTATCGGACTTCATCCGGGCAAACTCCTCCTTGGTGATCTTGCGCATGTTGGAGTAGCCCTTCCAGTTGTCCCACTCCTTCTTGCGTGCGGCTTCAATGCCGGCCTTCAGCTCGCCCGTGGCCTTCCGGTAATTCAGCTCGCGACCAGCCCCTTGCTTCACAACCTTCTTCTTGTACTTCTTCTCGCCACGGCTGGCAAGGAAGGCCCGAAAACGGGGAAGCTGTTGCACCTCAGCATTCAAAGGCCTAGCCGCCATCATCCCCTCAGGTGGCAAAGGCTCTGGTAGTCCAGGTGGCGCCTGTGGTCTATGCGGTGGTGACTCGAGCGTGGTCTCGGCCACAAGGAGGGTGACCCCGCCATGGAGAAGCCATAACGAAGACTTCCCCTCAGCGCTCAGCACGCGGGCCGGTCCACACCATTTTCCCTTCCTGTAGAAGCTGATCAAATCTCCAGACTGATAGGGTCCACGTAGAGGCCGTGCCTTTCTCAGCATCGATCTCCGGAGGCGTTGGTTGGAGTCGATGAACATAAAAGCTTCTCTGGCCCAGCGCCGCATCAACATCTTTTTGCCGAACTCACCCTGTTCGTCCAAGGTCTCCTCTTGCACTCCCAGGTCCTCTTGGTCCCGGTCCTGCATCAAAGAGCTGAGGTCTTGCGGCAACTTGCCCAGAACCCACTGCGCCGGAACATAGCCATCGTGATTGAACCGCCCGTTCTTGACGTCCGTGGCCTGGGTCACTCCCGCCTCCATCGCACAGTCGCCTTTGATCTGGTTGGCGGCAATCATCCTTTTCAACATGGCCTTCAAGATGCCGCCGTGCCGCTCTGTGCAACCTATCTGCCATGGTGCCCGGGCCGCTGCCGTCCGGATCTCCACGCCCATGGTGGTGAGTAGCGCCGACACCTTGCCGCGGTTGTGCACCCCTTGGTCGGCCACAAAGTAGCGGGGAGCACCGGCCCACGAGAACCAGGCCGTATTGATAAAACGGGCGCACACCTCTGATGAAGGTGTTCCTCCGCCACCCACACGGCCGGCAACATGGAACTTCGTGCCGTAGTCGACCAAGTAAAGGATCGTGTGCTTCTTACCGGTGGCGTCCTTGATCTCGAAGGCGTCGCAGCTAAGTTGCCAATTGAACTTGTAAGGCGGGGCCGTCGACACAGAACTCGGTGGCGGAGGAGTTTGTTTCTCAAGGCAGGCCGGGCAGCGAAAGTAGCGACAAGCCGCCACCACCTCGGGTTCGGAGCCAGCCGAGCGAAGCATCCTCATCATAGACTCCTTCGAGGCGTTGCCGGTCGCTTCTTCTTTTCCAGGCGAAGCCACCGTTGACGCCGAACCTTCTCAAAATCCGGCTGCTCGTGCTCAGGCTCCTCCTCCAGTCGCTCTTGCCGGTCGATCTCGCCATGTTCCACGGGAGGTGGCAAAGGTACTTCCTCATCTTCCGGCCCGTGAGCAGCATCCAAGGTTCCACCCATTTCCTGCTGCTCCTCGGTCTCTGCCTCAGCCGCGAAGGCCACTTGACAGTTGAGCCGCTGGAGCTCCTCAAAGGCACCATCCAGAATGGTTTGTGCCAGCTCGTCCGGCCACTTGGCAGCAACTCGTGCCCTGCCGGCTGTCCAGAAGGTCCGGTCAGCATCCTCCAAGGAGCCGGCCTTAGAGCGCAGGCTTTCGCGAATAGCGGGCGAAGCTGTAAGGAGGCCAGTGGGCTTGTAGTAGAGCTTGTCGGTGGAAACCTCCTTCAGACCGAAGGACCCTTGGTCAATGTACTCGGCCTCCAGCGCCTGCTCGGTGATAGGATGGACGGTCTGTCCCAGCCGCTCAAAAGCACGAAGTTGCCACAGAAAGCTTTCCCAAGGTTGTCAAGAACGACATGTCGGCCCAGAGCCGTCCTTCGCTGCAACAGCCGGGCCAGCCAGCGAAGTGGCTCGGTCCATTTCCGCCTCTCGCTGATCACTTCGGCCCGTCGCGTCTCAGAGGTCAAGTTGTCGAGGGCAGGCAAGTGACTCCAGGGAGCGGTCACGGTCGAAACCACCAGCAAGTAGGGGTCCTCCTCTTCGATCCGGCGCCAAAGTTCATCACGCACGCCTTGCTGGAGAAGATCACCAGGAGGCGAAGCCAGATCGATGGGAGAGGAAACCGTCAGGCCACAGCCCAAAGCCGCAGCAGTAATCGCAGCCGCCCCGGCAAACAACTCAAAGAGAAAGCTCTTGCATCCTCGGGGAAGCTGCCGGTGTGATCTTCGATAAAGCGGTGACGGCGACAGCTGGTTCCACATAGTGGCGTCGCTCCGGGCGATCACCTCCGAGGTCTCATCAAGAAGTCGCCGCTGGCCTTTGGTGAGCACCGTGGTCTTCTCCTCGTCGTAGAGGGCGTAGCCTCCGGAATCCAGAGGCCCTTCGCCGAGACTCGCGCCCAGAGCTTCTTGGCAGTGGCTGGGGTTCTTGTAGAAGTAGGTGTAGCCGGTCGAAGGGCCCCCAAGTAGCTCGGCAACTTCTAGGTCCTCGGGCCGCTGCGGAAGCCAATGCTCTCTGAACTCCTGGGTCTCGCCGCTCACCGTCTCACAGGCCACAGTCCTCCAGAACCTCCTCCTCAATCTCGGTCTCCCCGCCAGGCTCCAGCCTGGGATCATAGAGAAACGTCCTGGGCTGAACATGCACTCGTCCCCAAGTGTCGCCTTCTTGCTGCCAGAAATCTTGCTCATCATCGGCCTCCGGCGTGGGGTTCTCGTTGTCGTCGGCCGCCAGCATCGCAAAGCCACCGTCAGCGAGGCCGTCCTCAAGAGGAAGAAGCCGAACCGCCGGGAGAGTCTCGATCAAGCAGTTCCAGGTGTTGCTGAAACCTCTTGCTGTAGGCCTTGTGCTCCGGGAGGTCGAGCACAATGCCTAGCTCTTTCTGGGTCTTGCAGCTGAGAAGCAGTGGGGCGTCGGATCCTTCGAGCTGGAGGGAAATAGTCAAAAGACGGCGCCCTTTCGACCGAACTCGGCCGCCAATGCCTTTCAGGCTGGTCCCTTGGTCGGCTGGAAGCGGCTCGCTTGGGAGACCACGCGCCTGCATGTACTGCTCGTACCAGGCTGCTCCGTGGCACGACGATTGGTTGCAACCGGTGTCCAGCACAGGCAGCAAAACATTTTCCGAGGGTGCGGCGTCACCAGTCGTGACCATGTATCCGGTCCCCTGCCGGGCGGTGTGCTCCCGACTCTTCATCATCCTGATAAACCGGCTGAAGTCCGGAAGGGACTTGGCTTGAATGTTTCCACCCTGCGACAAGATCCAGGAACAGTAGTCGGAGTGGCCCCGGTAGACCTCGCCGAAGGTCCTTCCCTTGTGCTTTACCATTGCCGTTGGAGGTTGCCGTGGAGCCTGCTGTGGAGGCCTGTCTCCCGAACCATGCGCCCCAGCACTGGTAGTAGAGGAAGTCTGTCGGGCTGTCGGGTTGCTCGCCTCTCTCGGCCGGTAAATCTCCACACACCGCTGCACCATCTGAGGAAGGCGGTCCAAGGGAACGGGGTTGCCACAGCTCTCTTGCGCCATGACCACCGTGCCCGCAAGCTCCAGCACCTTAACCGCGGCCGTGTCGGGCCCTTCCATGTTGGCGGCTCCCATCGGTCCGCCCAGCGCCGGCGCCAAAGAAGGAAGCTGATGACCCTCAAGTGTGGGCAGCCTCTGGGGCCGTCACGGTCTCAGGGGCGGCTTCCCTCTGAGTCCTTTCCAGGATCTTGCGGCAGTCACGGCAGGTCCTTAGGAACACAAACTGGGGTCGTCGTGCGTTCGTGCCGGCACTCTGGCACCTCAGGCGCAACTGCGGGAAGCTCCTGCGCCACGTTGTTCTGGTCGGGGACCACCTGCTCAGAAGCAACCTCCGGAATAAGAGAGGGCGAGTAGTCGCTCAGGTGGTCCACAGTGCCCTGCTCGAGGTGGGGCTCGTCGGCGACCATAAGCTCCCCGGTCATCTCGGTGGTGTCCATCTCCCGAATCGCCGCCACCATGGAGTCAATGACCACATCGCTGTTCACACGCAGGGCCTCAGCCAGCATCTGCTGATCCAGGTCAAGCCCCGGAACCAATGCCGCCGCGGCGGTTCCCGGAACCACCGCCCACGAGGAGGCACTCGGCTCGGAAGTGGATGCCTCACCGCGGTCCGCCAGAGTAGGAAGGGTCAAGCGCTGCTCGGCGGCCGCGCCCGGCTGAAAAGAAGATCCCAGACAACGATGCCGGCGCCACGCCATCTAAAGAAGTCGCCGGTCGGGTGTTCTCCGCCGGCGGGCCCAGCGAGGAAGGCGGAGGAACCTTTGCAAAAGGTCCCTGATAAGCCATGTATCCCACCTTGCTGTCGGGGTCGTCCTCCTGGATGGCAAAGTACACGGTGCGCGGCTTACTCCCGAGGCTGCCCTTCTTCTGGCTGCCCTTCGGTCCCTTTGGTGCGGTAGACGCCGTAAAGGAAGAGGAGGAAGCGCCCGTCTTGCCCTTGCTCTTTGACTTTCAGCCGCCTTTTGGGCAGCTCGCCGTGCACCTCAAACTGGCGTCCCTTGAAGCCGCCATGGCCCCGGCTGTGGGCCTGCTTCCTCAAGAAGTAAGCTTCGGACTCCATCTGCAAGACCTCCGCGGCATACTCGGCGCTCTCCTGGTCATAGCTCTCGTCCAGGCCCTCGGCGACCATGCTGGCGAAGACGTGGTACACATACTCCTCCTCCTCCTCGGTGGCCTCATAGTCAATCGTCGCGTCCCCGTGGTTGGCGGAGGAGAGCTCGTCCTCGTAGCCGCCCAGGCTCTGGCTGTGACTTTCCCAAGCCAGGTGCGCCTCGTAGTCGTAGGCCTCGGCGGTGTCCTCGTCAGCGACCGCTTGGTAGCCGTGGAAGCCCTTCTTGCCGAACCCTTTGGGCCCTTTTCCCGACGGGTACTTGCCCTTGGGGTAGCCATAGCCCCGCTTCTCCTTCAGGTGAAGTCCCGCGTGTTGGTTCACCAGCTCGGCGCACACCCGGGCAACGGTAAAGTCACTGTCCCCAATCACCGTGCGGATCATGAGAACCTGGTCGTCGGTGAGCCGGGCGTTCTGGAGAACCTGTTCTGCAAGCATCTGCTCGGGGAGGTTGATGCTGCCGTCTAGGTCCTTCAGCATGCTCCACCAGGTCCGACGCCTCAAGGTGTAGATCGCGATGGGCTCGCCGATCTGCCGGCTGAGCACTCCATGTTCCTTGGCCCCGGCACTATACAGCTCACGTGCCTCCTGCTGCCGTCTCGGCCGCAAAGCCTCGGTGAGCTTCTTCACGATGGCCTGGGGCCCTTTGTCCGACGCCAAGGTCTCCGCCTCAATCTCCCTGACTATGTGCAGGGCCGTGCCCCGTAGTCCTTCCACCAGCCTCACTCCGAGAGGGCCCATCTTCTTCACCTCGGTAGCATCCATGCCGCTCTCCTTCAGCTCCCTAAGCTTCACTCTGTAGACGTACTCTTGGAGCTGGTGCAGGCTTCCGTCATAACGAGGGATGCCGGGCCGTACTTTCCTTCCGTAGTTTCGCTATCTGAGATCTCCACGAACTTGGCCCACGAGAGGCCTTCCAGCAAAGCCATCGAGGCGTCGCCGGCTAAGAAGGTCTTATGCTTAAAGCTGCCAACGTGATATGAAAGGGCTCTGCAAAGGTCCCTAAAGAGCGCTGGGCTCCGCTGCCAGTATGAAAACTGGGCAGTGCTGAATGCATGCGCTTCCAAGACGTCGCTTTTCCGCATGGCTTGAAAAAGGTCGCACGATCAAAGCCTATCCGGGCCAGAGTCTACATCGCAACAGCTTGCTTTCACACGTTTGTTGCCTCACCATTTCTGTCGTTCACATAACTATCGCTGTTGCTGTGTTCTACCAGAGCACAGCTGATGTCATATTATGTATTACTGTCCTACTTGAGGTGGTACTGTTTTAACTGTTTATGGATTTCTAACTATGTTCCGGCCTCCGAAGAAGTGTCACATTTGCCCTTGGAAGCCTGAACTGTGCTGCTGCTGCTGCTGTTGTTGTTGTTGTTGGTTTTGTTGCCATTGTTGCCCTTGTCGTTGTTGTTGGGGATTTCGTGGTGCGTTTATTGCCATCTCAGAGTAAGTATAGAGGGGAAGGTGTAGTGTTGGAGCGGATGAAACTGAAGGAAAGTGATTCAGCTGTTAATGCAAGCCATGACCACCGTATTCTGAAGGGTCCAGGTGGCAACGCCAGTATTGAAGTGCCCTGAACATGCTCCAATGTCCTCTCTGCCTGCTGCATGATTTCTGATCCTAAAATCCTCCGAGTCAGCCAGAAGCCTAAACTCTGCCCGAAGCTGTGGACCTTGGATCGATTGTCTATTTTCTTCTGCACCTCGCACAAGGCTGCAAAATGAGCTTACTCATGGGCTCTCAGGGTGTGCCTTTGGCAGTCTGGGTCGAAAGCTAACCCTCCATGCTTGGCATGCGCTGCCACAGTGGGTTGCAGGGTTCATGCTGGGCTAGCACAAAATAAATGGGGACTTCTTGTCTGCGTATTGTCCCATTACTCTTTGATCCCCCACCGGACGTCCTAAGGAACACCCCACGTCAGAAATCTACATGTGAAGGTGGGCAGGTATCTTGTCTGGGTGATCCTACAAGCAAGAACCTGCATCGCATTCAACACAGGCTTACACATCCTAGCTGTCCGTGCTGGTCATATTATGAGGGTTTGACAGATTTCTGGGCCCTTTCCAAAGCTAGAGACCTCGGTTTTTATGCAAACAGCAAGGTAGACCTCATTCTTAAGCTCCCGCAAGCGTAAACTCCTGATCCTCTCTGAAACCCCCAAGCATAAACTTGAAAGCCTCATCCAAGTACCTGGGCTCCCCACGTACTCCAGGGGAGCGACGCGGTCGCTCCTCAGTTGAAGCCCAAGCACAGCTGGTTTTTTTCCCTCCTACCTAGCAAGCTGGTTTTAGGCTTTAGGGTTCAGGCCCGAGAAGCTCTAAGCCATCAGTCCCTGTCAGGTTTGGGGCCCCATCTTGGGAAATCTTGGGTAGAAGTGAATGGTTTAAGGTTGCCTGATGTGTGTCCTCCCAGACAGTTTGCCCGGAGAATGCTCTTCTGAGCTAACTCTGGTATAGAATCCCGAATCGCTCAAGCCTAAAAGAACTAAACATCTTCGCTGCAACCCAGCCGAAGAGTCCGTGGGGATCAGCAAGGAAGCTTTAGAAGGGTTTGCGGGAGGGAAGGAAAACGGAACACGACGTCTCCGAAGTTTCGCCTCGACAGTTTGTTTTGCAGCTTGGGATTTTCTGAACCTTCTGGGCGTGCAGTTTCTTCAAAAAGCAGGGCTTTCGATTCTGACGGAGCACCCTTGCAGTTATAGGAAGGTCGAATGGTGCCGGTGGATTCTTTGCAAAGCTTGTACAGGCCCTGGGTATTGGGGTTGTGGTCCTTGTGCTAGATACGGAAACTGCAAGGGAGCTCCACAAGCGAGGGCAACCACGATCAGGTTCGCGCGCACCCAGGCCATGAGGAATCCGCCGAGGCGTCGGTGTCTCGGTTAAGATAATCAGATAGATTTAAAAATATCTTCCCCTGCGCGCAACTCTCCTTCTGAAACCTTTTTGTGGTGAGTGTCTGTTGGGCTCGTCTTTCTACAGATCCTCCAACATCAGCGGGCCTCCTCTCGGACTCCCACCCCTGCAAACAAAAACATAATCGGCAATTGCTTGCAACGTGCACGCTTCTGTGGCGGTTCAAGGGCGCGGCTTTGCACTCCTTGGTCTCTGGGTTGATTACAGTTTCCCACATGCTTCTGGGGAATGGAGCGTGTTTGGTTCTTCGGGTGCTTGGTTGGTCGGTTGGTTGATTGTTTGGTCGGTTGGTCGATGGGGGAATGCTGTATATGTAGCTAGTAATACAGTAGGGGTCTGCGCGTGCTTGCGTACAGGGGTATAGCGATTAAGGCGCTCAGGGGTATAAGGCTGCATATCGATGAGGGGGTAGAGGTATGGTGTTGCAAAGGCAGGGGCAAGGGTAGGGGCAGGGTACGTGTAGTCGTTTTTGTTGTCGTTGTTGTTGTTGTTGTCGGTTGAGCCGCTACGGATCACAGCAGGCTGTGTAGCTTTGCTAACAAGGCTCTGGGTACCAACGCTAGAGGCTCGCAACGTCCCCCTTCTGCGAAGCTTAAGGGACTGTCCTCTTTCTGAGCCATAGCTATTCCCGGAGCCGCGTGCCGCCGTGATCTGCCGGGTCCCAATTCCCGGGCCTCTGTCTGCAGTTATACAACCTTGGCATGAGGTAAGCGGTAGTGGTTTTCACCTTTCCGCAGGGTGAAGGGAGTCGGATTGAGTTCTCTCTTTCCGGCGAAACTAGCGGACGGCGCAATCGCCAATGCACCAGCATTCTTTTGAGAGCATTCGCAAGAAGGCCTTTCGCAAGGCTTGCAATAAGGTACATAGAACACAAGACAGCATCCCGTACCGGAATGGTACGTTGGCGCCCGAACATTTGCGCCGCAGTGGACTCACCCCGCCCTCCCCTCCTCCCCTCCCCGTGCTGTCTGGCTCCACGATTTCTCCTTCAGGTCCTTCAGGTCCCTCTGCCAGTTTCCGCTCGCGCCCGAGAGGCGGTCGTGCCAGCAAGTCTCTTCGTGTTCTCTCCTGGAACGCTGGGCACCTTGGCATGCAACAATGGGCAGAAGTGAAGACGTGGCTTCGCACGGAGGCCAAGTATGTCTGCGACATTCTGGTCTTACAGGAAACTCACTGGAGTGAAACAGCAGAGTTTGATGTTGAGGGTTGGCACTGCGTGAGCTCCGCCACAAAAGGGGCTGCCCGGGCACCCAAAGCTAAAACTGCTCCAGGGCGACGCTCCAAGCAAGGCGCTGCCACGCAGCCAGCTGTTCATGACACAAGTCGAGCGGACGGTGTCATGGTTCTCCTTTCTCCTCAGATAGACAAGAAACGGATTAGGTGGCGAGAGCAACGTCGCGGCAGGCTCATTCAGGTCATTTTCCCGTGGCTTGGGGCCCGCGTGCATGTCTTTGCGGTCTATCAACATGCGTGGTCTTCTAAGAAGTCTCCTCAGCAGAACAAGGAAGACCGCTCACACTTGCTCCGCGATCTGTCAGCAGCGATCCGGTCAATCCCGGCGAGGGATACCTTTCTCTTGGCAGGCGATTTTAACGCTCGTTTGACTCCGCAGGAGGGTCTGGTGGGCCAGTGTAGCACAAGGAAGGAGCATGCTCAAATGCAGGATGAGCCGTTCCAGGCTTTGGTTTCCTCCCATCGGTTGGTAGCTCTTAACACTTGGTCCTGTGGCGCTGGTCACACCTTCTTCTTGAATGGACGGGGCTCGCAAATTGACTTTTTGCTAACCTCCGAGGCTTCGGCCAAGGGTCCGGCAAAACAGTCTGGGCCATGCAAGGATCTTCAGCTCGGCAAGTGGAAGCGAGGCGGCCATCTTCCCGTCTTGGCTCATCTCCGACCCACTCAGCACTGGAATTTGCCTAAGCCCACTTGCCCCCCCCTGACCTTCCATAAGGAAGCTCTAGAGACGGCTGTCCGTTCAGGTCTGCCGATAGCCGGCCGCATGCAGGACTGGGTGGGCCAGCGTCTGTCCTCTCGGAATCACACGCCTGATGAAGTCAACCAGGTGCTGCTGGAGGCCTCTGCTTTGTTCTTTCCCAAGCCTCGGCCGCAGCAAGCTCCGGAAACTGCTCAGCATCGTGCGACGTTGCGCATGTGGAACAGAGTCGCTCACATCCGCTCCTTGCATGAGGACTCCATCACCACTTTATCCGACCTGGATCAATCTTTGGAGGACCTGAGTCGCTGGCATAAGCAGGCTCTCTACTTAGCCAAGAAGGAACGTCACCGAGCTTTTCAGGCAGAGGTGGATGAGGCGTGTGCCAGACACGATTCGTACATCGCGCATAAGACCCTAAAGAAGCTCCAAGCTCCGACCATGGGAGCCGCAAACCAAGGCCCAGCTTCAGGGACCGGATGGCCTGCTTTTGGATTCTCACTCTGAGCTTCGTTTGCTTCGCGAACACGTGGAACAGGTCTTTGCCAGACATCCTCCCCTCGAACACCAAGTGGGATCGCTGCCGGAAATCCCGGCTGGTCTGCTGGCCAAGCACATCGGCTCCATTAGACCGCACAAGGCGGTCCCGCAGGGTTCGGCTCCGGCGGCTGCCCGGCGGCTGTGCTCGGTAGATGCGGGAGCGGCGCTAGCAGCAACGCTGCAATCTCGGGGGCAACGCCCATTGCCGGCTGCTGAGGTTCTTCAGCCGCCTCTAAAGGATGCTGACTTGTGTTTTATTCCCAAGCCCAACAAGCCGGCTACGAAGCCCGGCAACCTTCGTCCCCTCGGCATCATTCGGCCGGATGGCAAGGGCTTGGCGGGGGCTTGTAGAGACCAGCTGTCTCCCTACACGGCTGACTATCTCCGGGGTCTCCCACAATTTGCCTACCAACCCCAACGTGGTCTTTCCGATGCCTTGAGCAGGGTCGTTGGCCATGTCACTCAGGTGCCCAGCAACTGCCAGGAGGCCCGACGTACCAGGCATCAGCTTCACTCGGGGCGAACTCGTCCCCAGCTGGTAGGTGGTATCTGTTTTGCCCTGGACTTGTCACAGGCCTTTGACATGGTGAGCAGGACAGACCTGCTCAACACCCTGCGGGATGCGGGAGTCCCTCAGGACCTCATGGACCTAGTCGCCTCATTACATGCTGGCAGTGCTTACACCTTTCGCACGCAGGGTGAAGAGGACACAGTCCAATCCACAGCTGGCATTAAACAGGGTTGTAAGCTTGCCCCTACTCTTTTCTCCATGCTTCTTTCGGGAGCTCATAGCTCTTGTCGGTGCTCGTGCCGTGGTGGATTACCTCACAGGCTACGCGGATGATCTGACGGTTCACCGCGAAATCCACTCATTGGAAGACCTGGACCGCGCTCATGCTCTGATTGAGCAGCTATTGCAGTTGGTCCGCAGTCATGGATTTGCTGTCAATGGTGCCAAATGCACCGTCATGATAAAGCTCGAGGGCCAACAGGCGCAACGCGCCATCTCCAAGCACACGTTTTGGCGCACCGCGCCTGACGGTACTCGCCACAAGATGTGGCGGCTGGGAGCGTCCAAGTCTCACGAAGGCTTTCCGATGGTGACGACCTTTAAGTATCTCGGAGTCATGCTCTCTTACTCTAACTTTGAGAAGGCTACTCTCAAGTTTCGGTTGCAGGAGGGCAATGCCAAATTGCAGCAGGTACGTCGCTTCGTTCACAACAGACGCACGGCAGGGCCGGCATCGCGGTTGCATATTTGGCATAGTACCGTCTGGGCCACAGTGGCCTCTGGGTTGGTGGATGTGGGCTTGACTTTGGAGACAGCCAAACTCTTGCGGGCTTGGCACGCTCGAAAAATTCGGGCTGTACTGAACAAGCCAGTGCACCTTTCTCACATATCGACCACTGACCTCTATGCCTCCCACGAGATTATGGATCCTGTTTGTAAGCTGCAGGCGAGACAAGCCAATCGTGTCAAGCGCCTAGGTCTTCGCCAGCAGACAACCCCTGCAGGTGATGTCTCTCTGACACAGCAGGCGCTTCATCAAGCAGAGGCGCTCTCTGCCAGGTACGCAGACGTTCTGCAACAACTCTCCGAGGACACAGAGCAGCAGGAGGCCCCTCCCTCTTTCGCATGTCCGACGTGTGCTCAGGCCTTCGACACTGAGGTTGGTCTTCGCACCCACCAGGCCCGCAAGCATCCATTCTCGGTTCTTAGATATGTCCCTCGAAGTTTTTCCCACACTATCTCCGTAGGAGGGCTCCCCAAGTGTGCAGCCTGCAACAGGCAATTCCCTCAAATGAAGGGCTTAAAAGATCACCTGCTATCTGGCGCCTGTTCGGAGCCAGCTAGGTCAGCCAGGTTAAAGGAGCTGGATGACGCGGCGCACCTTCCTTCAGACTCGCAGCTGATGCCCCGGTTGCATCCCAGGCAGCAGCGCCTGCATGACACCTTGACTACACACACAGCTGTTGAACTAGGAAGGTTGGATGAGTCTCAGGACCTTATGTCTTATTGCTTGCTGTGTGGGTTCTGGACGCCAGACAACACCAAGCTCAAATCCCACATCAGGCAGGCCCACAAGCCCGAATGGGCGGCTCATGGGGCAGCTGCCACATCACAGAGCAGCAAATCAGGTCTGGTCCTTGTCAAGGGCATGCCCTGTCCGTGCTGTCGCAAGCAGGTTACGGACAGGAGGCAGCATCCGGCACAGTGTCCGATACTGTTTCAGATTCTGTTCTATGACTTGGCTCATGATCTCTCCCGCTGTCAGGGTGGACCGCTACGTAGGTACATGCCAATGGCTGGCGCGACACCGGGCCATGCTCCCAAACAGGACGGCAATACCGCTGTCGGAGCAATGCCCCTGACTCGCCAGGCAACGCCTGCAGGCCCCTTGCCATCGAATCCAGAGGCAGAAGGATCAAAGGACGGAGCACTCGCTGCTCCCCGCTCGTTGCGCAATATCTCTAACTATACTGCTATTTCAACTCTACGCTTTCGGCATTGGTGCCGACGCGCATCTTGCTTGAGCACGGAAGAGCCAGCACCTCCCTCCACCACGAAGTGGCTGACTCCGCCTCTGGTTCCCCTTTTACCCTGACTGCCTCTTTCACACTTCGGCATCTCACTCCCACCTGGCGCTATGATGGTCAACTGCAAGATGCTTCGGAGTTCCTGGTAGCCTTGTTCGCTGGAATTACTGGGTTTCCAATCGCAAGACCCTGGGAAGTCAGGGATGGGCGCACTACTGAAGTAACGGATGAGGGTGGTCCGCTCGCCCTGCTGCCGGCTCCGACGGCAGCTGGCTCTCACGAACTTCAGGAGCTGATCTCTCGGTGGTCCGGTCAGCCAGTGTACGCTGCTTTTCGAGGGCAGCAACGGCTGGTGGTTCTCTCGGTGGCACGATTCGTTGAAGGTCGCAAGCTCAGTTATGCCGTAACAGGTCTACATCGCCCTGTTCAGCTCCCGCAGTGGGCCCCGACGGGCTCCGTTCAACTAGAGCACGGATGGGTCCAGTCCTGTGTCTTTCATATCGGAGACACTCCGCACAGTGGACACTATCGCTCCCTTTGGAGGAGCAACCCCGATCAACCTTGGTTCAGCACGGACGATGGTCGTCCGTCGATTCCGGCCTCAGATTCCGATCTCAGGCAAGCACGCCACGGCTGTTATGTGCTGTTAGTGCGACGTGGTTCATTACCGAGCACAGCGGAGGCTGGCCCTATGCCAGTCCATGTTTCTGATGATTAAGCTGGGGTGGGACAAACCCCTCGAGCCGAGAATGGGGGGTTGTCTGTGGCCCCCAAACCCATAGCATATGCGCTTTTGGACTCCGGTGCCACACGCCCCATGCGGCAAGCATCATCTGAGGAGGAGTGAGGGTTCCCCTGCAGCCAGGGGCCCCTACTTCCCTTTACAAGGAGGGGGCGACCCACTGGCTCCGTGGGACCGACCTGCCTGCACGGCAGGGAGCAGGAACGCTGTCACTCAGTTTTGCTGCTCAAGTTGCACAGCTGACGGCCACGGGCTATATATCACCTTTGCGACCTTACGGCCCATCGCCTCTGATTGAGAGTGACCATGAGTGGGACGCCACGCGACAGGCACTCTGAGTGACGGTCCCGCGGGGTACGGCTCATCAATCATTGGTTCGTGGACATGGGACGCCATAGTCCACACTGAGGGTGTCGGAGGGTTTCTCACCCACGCCTGAGTAATATGAGCTGGCTTCTGATGTAGCTTGTAGGGTAGCTCTCTCTTTCCGTTAGCCTGTTCTCAGTGCTCTCAGGCCCAGGCCCTTTGCATTTCTGCTCTCAGACCTTTGCTCAGGTGCAAAGGCAGTCTCACACGCCCGCAATGAGCAGAGCCCGCTCGCTCAGCGTCCAATAAAAATTGTTGTCGGTTGTCCTTGCTACTGCTGCCACTGTTGCTGGTGTTGGCAGTTTTGAGGTTGCGGGGCGTGTGCGCGGGTGGGAACACAGTTCAGCCAGGCCACGGGCTGGGTTGGTCGGGGTGTACTAAACATGGTTAACAACATGAAGCTTGCTTTTTGACAGGCGTTGCATGCTTGTTCTTTCAAGCCAGCCCTCCACGACAAACAACGGGGGTTTGCAAAATGGAGCTTTTTGTGACAAGCTTTGCATGTCCGTTCTTTCAATTCAGCCCGTCACGAAAAACAGTGAGACTGACAGAATGGACCTGTTTTTGGCAGGCGTTGCATGCTGGTTCTTGTTCTAGCAAGTCTGCCATGCAACGCTACATATGACAACATCGGGTTTGTTTTTGACAGGCATGGCATGTATGTTCTTGCTTTGCGACGTCTGCCGTTGAAGGCAAACTATGAGGTTAACGAAATGGGGCTACTCTTCTGGAGATATAACAACAGTCAGAATGATAACATTAATGAAAAATAACAATAAGAGTACTGATTACAGTACTATTAGTTAGAGTAAGAGCACCAGGTGGCCTCTCTTTCAGTCCAGCTCCTCACGACCACAGTGGGGGGCGAGCAGAATGAAGCAGCTGTTTTATGCTTGTTCCTGTGGGGAAAGGAACCTAACCTTAGCTCTGAACGAGTGCAGGCCCAACCGAGGCGAACACACGGAGCGATAAAACGATTCAAAGTAGTGGCTCTGCCTGCATGTAACTGCATCGGACTTTCTGAAAACAGCTCCCACTCCATAACCCCAGTCAAATTCTTAGACACATTTGTATGAAACGAATGTATGTAAACCCTTCATGTCTCTCAGATTCTCTCAGCAAGGGTTGAGTTGAGGGGCATGCGGTGTGTCCTTTGCTGGGTGGAGAGACTGTGGTTCGGGCGCGTTGCAAAACATGCAGTTCTGAAACGCCCGCCTCGAACACACCATCTCGAATCATGACCGATCACTACTGCTGTCGCCTTGCGGTCCTATCAGGAACAACCACCCAACAAAGTATCTATTAGTTCACCATCGATCTCTCAAAGACCGAGTTGCGTTTCGCGCTCCAGGGAGTCGAGCTGGAGCTTGGCCTCCTTCGTGCAGGAGCTTGAGGAAGCAACTGGGCAATTGAGGGTGTAGGGCTTGGGGCTCGGAGCTTAAAGCTTTCGAGGATGTACACCTACATCCCAAACGACCTGGCCTTCTAGGTTCAAGGTTATGACTTCCTGACATGCGTAGTGAAGTGCCTGGGGTTCAGGTGCCGGCTGAAGCTTTCGCTCCGCGGGTCATCCGGCTGGACGGGACAGCTACAGCCTAGATAGGGCGTACCTTGCCTCTAGCTCCCTCTCTTTGTCGTCCAGCTCATCCTGGAAGTACATGACCTCCACACGGTTTTAGTTCGGGGTAGTTTGGATTTATGGCTTCGGGTTTAGGTGTTTGGAGGAATTTAGGTTAGTTGTTTCTGAGTGGGAGGGTGAAGGCTCGGATTCTTTGCTCGGCGTCTGGCCCTGCACCTGCATGGGGTGAGGTCATTGCAGTAGTGGGAGACTGCCGCGCGGAGATGAGCGTGACAGATGACCGAAAAAAGAGGAAGAAACAAATAATGTAAACTAAGCGAAACGACCCTTGTTGTCTACACCCTGGGTTACCAGCAGCGCAAAGCTACAGTCTCGTGGAGCTTGTCAGTGGTCTTCTTCTTGGCGGCACATCTTCTGAGTCTGGTACAAGGGCTATCGCAGTGAAGGTGTGGGACCTGGGATTACCTCAATTCATAATGGGATATGGTATACACTGATAGGATATGGTATGCACTCGCTGCTGAGAACTTGGACTCTCAAGTGCAGCAGCTGTGTTTAGCTTACAAAACCGGGTTTAGGAGTTTCGGCGCTCACACTCGGACAATCCAGGCGAGGCATATGGTTCGGAGGTCTGCTGAGTGAGACATTCTAACAGGAGGAGTCATGACTTGATTTCACCAAACGGAGTTTAGGGGTTTAGGTTCAAATGCTTCTGAGCTCAGGATTTCGGGGTTTAGGAAACACAGACTGAGGACGTAGTGATATGCGGTTATGGGTCTGGGATTTACGAGACCCCGAATGGCAGACCACACCACGAAAAACAATGAAGCTTCCATTCCGTAAGAACATATTACTTACAAGCCTGAACACCCGAACACCAATAACATGAAGAGCCTCAGCCGAGCTAAATCCGAAAACATCCTGCACTCTACCCAAACCCCAAAACCACATCCTGCGCGCCCAAGAAGCGTTGCCGGCCTGTGCATGCAAAGCTTCCATCGCCAGCAAGGCCTCCAGTTTAGAAGGGTCTGCAGCTCGGTTGGAAGCCAGTTCTGATCTCGTCAAGGGGGGCTTTGTGTTCGTGCCCAGACCGACTCAGAGTCGAAATTGTCGTAGGCCTCTGCAGAGCCAAGGGCGGCGAAGCACTCAGAGCACGCCCGGCGGGTTATTAGAAGTGTAAGCATCCGGAATCAATTGGGCTGGGTTTGCTTTGATGTGCCTTTCCTGATGATGAGGCATGAGAATACTAATTACTTACTGCTTGCCCTAAGCATATGCTTGGCTTTCTGGAAGGCTCCAAGTTTCGGCTGCAAGAGTTTGGGCTTCAGTTTTTGGGGTCCGCACTTTAGAAAGAGCTCAGACCTCAAAACCAGGTCTGCGATTTGCAGCCTCGCGCAAAGAGATGATGACCCTGCTTCGGCATGCCCTCCCTACCCAACGCGGAACCTGCAGACCCTGCACTGAAAAGACTCGGAATTCCATACCTAAGCATGCGTGGATGTGTCGTGTGGTATGGTCTGGTATGGCATGCGTTTGAGTATGCCTGTGTGGACTTCTATGTCTATGTATAGATACATGAGTGCTCAGGGCTTTGGCCTCGAGGTCCATGAGGTTGCCAAGTGCATCATCGTTGCACTGCACTTCATGCTCAGCAGGTTTCAGGATGTGCACCGGATGGTGTCGAGTTGGAGTTTATTGAGGGGAACGCAGAAGGGGGCAACGGTCTGTCAGGCAAAGGTTGACCCTTCGACGAAGTTCGTTTTTTCAAAAACCCTTCGGCGAACTTCTGCGAACCTTTTGGGGGTTCGTGAGGGGTTCGTGGGTTGTTCGGGTACGAGATGAAGTTCTTAATTGTGGTTGAAAATTTGCGAAGTCCGGCAAGGGTGCGATTGATAAGTTGAGAAGGATGGGCAGGACACGATTGAGAATTTTGGACATGTGGGCGAGGCTTCCACAGGCAAGCATGGGATTCGACGAATTCTTATTGAGGAATTACCCAGTGGACCGCCGATTAAAAGCATCAATGCTGCTGATTGTGTGTAAGACATTTGCTATACCTTAGCAGAAAACAACAGAGTTTCTGTGCTAGTATGCTATGTGTTGTGGTATTGGGTGAATGTTTGTTCCATGTTTTCGTTCTTGTCTTGTGATGTGCGCGTGAAATTTGAGCATTAAGGCTTGGGCAGAGGACGCTGTGGGAACCTCCATTTGAAACTTTTCAAGACTGTTACTTGACACGGAAGCAAGATAGAACGTAGTAAAAGCCCAGAGCCAACAGGAAAGCACGCACCAAACAGCGCTTATATAATAGTATTGTCAATGCAATTGCTAGAAATTTATCCATGCTGCTGCTTTTGCTGCTAGCAATGATGTGCGACTTTGACACTGGGCAATACAAATACCGATCAGTAAATCGGGTTGTTCTGAAGGAGACAACTCTAAACGGTTTATACGCGATCGTGAGTTATGTAGATGCGGAAATACCATACCAAAATAAATGCAGGTTAGGCACAGCAGCAACTAAACGACGTACAAGCACCAAAACTTTCAGAGAACGCAGGACAAAATTTAGTAATAAGTGTCAGTAATCATAATCTTGCTGATAAAATAACTTCGAAGCAGCAAACCATGTAAACACACACACATCTATAATAACACCGAAATAAACAATCTTATTGCTGTGTAGATGGTAAAGCACGTAATCCCAAAACTCAGATCAAGGCTAATAGTACAAAACAAGTTTAATTCTGTTTAAAACCTAGCTATTCTACCCAATATTAAAGGATCATACAAGATGGTATGCTAATTAATTTCACGTTATTCCACTAAAACGGAAACAGATTCAAATATCTGAATTGACAACCAGGCATTCGCTCCCCACATTACCCAACGATTATGCTGCAACACCACAGGTAAATCTCAGTTCTTTATCAAAAGCTGAAAATGATGCTAATAGTTGAATTCAAAACGCAGCGTTAATCTCTTGTGCAACAACTGCAACATAAACAACAGACTGAGCATCAGGGCGTGCAGGTTCCAACTTTCCGGCTTTCACCATAGTAGCAGGAGCAGGTGGCGGCACGAGCAACCCCATGGAATGAGTAGGTAGAAGCGAATATAGGAGATACACACATGTAAGCCAATAGAACTCGTAGATAGTATTACGAGTATACGAAGAACACACACACATGTTGCTGAATCCATTGTTTCATGGCAGTTCTCATTACATGAAGCAGGAAGTGCTAGTGGATTAACTAGTGGAACTCATGACGACACCGACACAACTACGCATATCTTAGACCATAACATTGCGAATGGAACAGTTCTGAGTAGACAGGTGGTTTTGTTTACCAATCTGCTTTCAGTTCTATGGATGATGGACATGGCAAAATACTACGTTTAACTGCGATAGCACAGCTAATACCATTACCAGATTGTGACCAGGTATATAGTTTAGCAATCATAGAAATTAGAATTCAGAAAGCAAACACAAACGAAAATTTACACCGATAGGACGAAGGGTGGATGATTTAGAAAGTAGGGATGATACAACATGAAACGGAACAAGAGCAACAATTGCACATGACAGCGGATTTGACTGTTACAGAACGCGACAGAGGCCAGTGTGGTTCAACTGTAAAACATGCGCAGGGGCATGATTTTACATCATTTCCACTAAGTGCATAGGTTACAGTATATGACATTACAAATTCCAGTGGAACAGCAAGCTTTAATGAAATTCTGTTGACAACAGTGAATTAACACGTAGCCAATGTTAAGTATATAACTGATGTAGTTGGGTGTTTGCTGGCCCCGTTTAAGGAGAGTTTTTTTAGTGTGTTAGGTGAGGTTTATGGTTTTTATATGGTCCCGGACAAGTTTCAGGGTTTGAGGTGCTCAAGGTTGGCTTGGGGTCCAGGGTGTGACAAACGAAAGCAAGGTCCGCAACGTGAAAAACTAATGCCTTGATTTTTACAAGCCTGAAGCCTTAGTTGCCTTTCTAGTTCTGCCATAATGGGTCCGATATGCCGAAGTTTCCGTCATACCGTCATAAGTCAGCAGGAGTGTATCGCTCAACAATGCATTATATATGTTTGCGGAAACTCAATAGAACATGTCCGTGACACATGATAAGGATGTTCACCCAGTTGCGGACATCAGTAGGTTCCACTTAGAGCTGTCCCGTCTCTGTTATGCTTCGGCGAGGGGGGGATTGGGTTGAGGGGGTTTCTGACTTCACGTGTAGTATCTTGTATATTCATCGGAGCTGTTGCGACATGTACGTGTTTCTGCAGGAGTAGTGCGATGATTTGCTTGTGAGCTTGGCATAATGTGGGTGATGAAGAATTTGACGTGTCAGTCGTAGCTATATTGGATAGATTGAAGCTAAGCGGAAAGTTGCGTGAACAAGCTTGTCGGTTTTTATATCGTTATCCCGTTGTTGGTATCCTTTAACAAAAGAAACCATTGCGCAACAATATTTAGGGTTGGTGGTTCTAAGCCAGGTGTTGGGCGTGGAAAGCAAACAAATTTCGGCCAAGGGGCTGGTCATGGCTGGCCGGACTTTGCGGAAAAGTCTCAGGTTCTCAGAAATTGAGGCATGCGGGCTCCAAGAGTTTATGGTTGTATTGGTTTAGTTGGCTTGGTGCGTAAAGGTTTGGATTCAGGATGATTCAGGTATATAGGCATCCACATTTAACTGAGTTTATCATGTTCGCTTCTTCATGTCTGGCATGTTCGACTCAGTCGGGAGGGTGGACGGGGGCTCGCCGGACCATGCAAAAGTTTCACCGGAACAATAGAACTTCAATCCGAACGAAGCCCTTTCAAGACTTCATCACCTTGGCAAACCCGCCCTGCGAAGCCAAGTGTTGAAGCCGTGATTGCCATGAGATCAAACCAGTGAACACTCAGAAAATCTAATGCCTCAGCCAGCAAACCTGAAAATAGAAACGCCAGGGGTTATGGATTCAGGTGCCGGCTAGGGGTTCCACAGAAAGGTCTGATTACAAACTAGGATGACCGTGTTCTGGTAAGGCTTGTGACTGATGGTTTGTACGGTCAGGACTTTCGGCTTGAGACGTCAAGCACTATTGCAGGTTTGGAAGTTTGGGATTGCGATTGACGTTTTTTTGTGCCACATGTGCTTTTGGTTGCATGATTGCTTCGGGAGCAGGCACCTCAAAATGCAATGTTTGTCCGAGTGTGACTGCTGAAAATGCAATAGAAGGTTCTGACAACGAAATGTCATATCAACGCCCGTAGGAAGGCCGAGCATCTTCAACAGACAGGTAGCACAGGAGCCCCAAGTCAGTAGTTGGACGCATTTTTGACAGAGATGTTTGTGATGAGAAAGACACTTTGCTTGGAAACGGTTGGGATACCACCTAGTTCAACCGAAACCACAAGCGGTGTCAAAACGTCAAGTCAACTGCGGACCAGAACGGAAAGTCTGATCATAATCAAAAGGCGTCTGAGCAAAATCAATAAAAAAACTCTGCAACTGTAGGACTATTATAGATTTTAAATTGTGTTTGAAACTGCGCGGGTAGGTCTCTTCGCCCCTTCTTTGTGATTGTCCGTTGCTGATGTTTCAAAGGGCCTGGAGTAAGGTTGGCTGGATTGCACAATATGGGCCCCAGATGGTTTCAAGCGGCTTGAGACCAGTTACTTACCAGTTTTTGTTGTTACCAGTTTTTGTTGGGTTCGGGTGTTGTGGTTGTATTTGCTGGGGCGTGGGAGCTTCAGGGTTTAGGAAGTTGAAAAGGTTGAGGCATTTTGGGGCTTGCGGTGCACGGTTGCAGCGGTAGACGGAGTAGAATGTCACAAGCGTACCTAAGACACGGCTCAGTGTGTCGGGGGTTGGGTTTAGGGCTGCTCAGAGGTTTGGTGCTCGGTTGGGTTGGCAGGTCGTAAATGCGTATATGTTTCCGGAGTTGTCGGGAAACCAGTATAGGGCTGGCCGGGAGGCGTTGTTGCTTGGGCTAAGGAACTTTGAT